TTAGAAGTTCTTCTACTCTTAGCACCGCAACAGCTAACCGCACTCGGTTAAATTAAACAGAAAGTAAGTGAAGCATAAATCTGGATATGTATACATGTATTGGCTAGTAGGAGTAAGTAAATCGGAGATATCTTCTGATTTATATAGAAAACTTTTAATAAGTTTAATATAAATTAGATAAGTTGCAGAGGTAACCTGTCTAAGCATAAAGCAAATGAAATGGTTGGATCCTAAATCGTAAGAATTAAACCAAATCAATAAAAGTTGTGAGAACTACACGAAGAGTTAATACGCATCGTGAGGAATCATATAAACATATGTGAGGTTGTGGCCCTTATTCACGCGGACGAAACATAAGATTTACGGTAGGTGAGAGGTTACCGCGACAGTAACCTGGTTCTAGGTCTCGATTTCAATGAAGCCCTGGAGAATACAAATTTACTTGAGAGAAGAACTCTTCTGAGTTGCCGGTGAATAAATTCGGGCGAAAATTCGTTCCTTACGACTTCAATAATAAGAAATTTCGAAAAACTGTGGGAATAAAGCCACCAAGCTTTGGTTTATTATATGAATACCTCGTAAATCAATTTCGTAAATTTTCAGTTATTGGCCAATTAAGCTTAGATTACCTGTATCTGTTGGTTTTCATTTCTTATAAAATAATGTAGAATGCGGACCGACATATTAAATCATATAATATACGAAGTTCTAAAACAAAATGCACATATAATAAATTTCAAATTTAAAACAAAATTAATTTCTTTTTCCGTGGCTTCCCCTTTTTTTTTGTTTTTGTTTTATTTGTTTGCACCCACATAACACCAAGTGATTTGTCAACCCCCATAAAGTTTCGCAAAAGTTGACAAAGTTGGAGTCTCATGCTCAAATAGGATTAACGCGTCATTGTGTTTTCTCCCCAAGCGTTGTGTGTACATTAATGATGGAGAAATGTTATTTCACAAAGGCAATCAAGGCAATCATATTCGTATGAGAGAGAACTAAGCGCACAGAATCATCAGCAAGTACTTCAAAATAAAAACTCTAATGCTAATTATGTACGGCGATAGCTAGATTTCATTTTCGAATTTTTGACTTCACGTATGCACAATAGCCGCGACAGACATTCCCTCCTATCTAAAGCTAAAGCTTGTGTATTGCGTTCGTATTGGTTTTTCATTGTCGATATTGATTATTCAGACCTGCATATTTAAGAGAAAACATGTGCAAATAGAAAACAAAATAAATTTTAAATCTGTGAAAGGTAAATGAAATAATTTTTCTTCATTATGGTAAAAGTCAGCATTACCTCAATTTGTTGTTTCGTAATTGACCTGCAAGTACCAGTAATAATTACTGGAATGAATTTAGTCAGAAGGACTAGCATAAAGTTTCTCGAGTTAATGTTAAATCGTTTGTGATACTGCTTAGCTGTGCACGTGCACACTTCACTGATCACTTTTCTTGAAGCAACGTGGCTCGTTTATTTCATTCTTTCATTTATATACCCAGGGCGGATGTATCGCTCCTACCAAATATTATACTATGGCAACATTTAGTTTTTTTTTCAATACCTTTTGTAATGCGCAGAAACAAGCTTCAAAACCTCATAAAGCATATAAATTCGTAATGGCCAGTTGCACGTTTTGAATCCGTTTACCCAATTGTATAGTATCTGTGGTAACCATTCCATTGTTTTTTGGTTTGTTTAGTCGAATGAATTTGGCCTCCTATCGATAAGAACACCATATCTAGTAGACTGATGAGTTTGTATTATGTGTTGATCCTTTACGCTTTATCAATGATCGCGATAGTATATGATGATATATGGAAAGATTGATGATACAGAATAGATTGCCAATAGTAGGGTATTAATTAGACAATTGCGTAAAAACTAAAAAAAACAAAATAAATTAATTTTCTTACGTTTCATAAACTTAAGATTGTTTGTTTTCGTTCAGTTGCTTGTAAGTAAACATTTTTATTTGCAATTTATTTTGTTTTCAATTTGCAGCGGTTTTTTCTTATAAAGGGTGCTCTAAACACACAATACTAGCGCAAAGCGTAAGCGATTTTGGGTACGGCTGGCTTGACAAATTTGAGGGGGCGTCTCTGGCCCCTTCTTGTGCATATATACAGCAAAAAGTTTGCAACTTCAAAATGAAACCTAGTTAATGCGATGCCTAATCAATGTCTTATTTTGTCCAAGTATAAAAGAGGTAAATATTTAGGCTTTTAGTTATAACTAAAAATATCAAAGTTTCTCCTTTGCCCTAAATTCATTTTTTATTCAGATTTGTAAAACAATTGCTTTCGTCCTTTTACAATAATCGATATTACTACTTATCCATAATATATATTATGGCGCTTTCTCTCCTATCATGAATGCATGCGTAGCGTTTTTTAAATTTTGGAAATTGAGTGCCCTTTAAGAACTGACTTGACTATGTATTCAGCATACACTTTGTTTGCTTCATTTTCCAATTCCTTTCACTCGTTATCTAATCGAAATTTCAATACACATCGCTTTGGTCGCTAAGCAACAACAATATAGGTTGTAAAGGTTACAAGAAATTAATCGCTTCATATCCTTTCTTTTTTTTTTTTTTCTACAGTGGCCCCATTTGTCTTAGAAAAAAAAAAAAAAATTGAAAGAAAATCAAATTTTCATACTCTTTAAGATGCGGTAGACATGACCGATTTTTTCTTTATCATCTCACATCGAATATGGGCGGATTTATTTACCGCTATATTGTTTGTAGTTTTTGAACAATGAAAAAAATTCCATATTTGCAAGTAGAAACAATTTATCATGTATTGTAGGCGCATCCTGCGATTGAATCAAAGCATTTTCAATCCCATACCGCTTGGAATAACTTCTAATGGTTTTCACAAATTGAAGCCTATTTATTTTTCCGGTCGGGAATATGTTTGTAATTTATTTTGCAAATAGTCCTATCTAAATCGATTCAAAATTTCTTGCTGATCAAGAATACATACACTTTAAAGAGTTTCTGAAACTTCGTCCTAATGCCTTCGAAATGTTTTAACAAACTGCCTTCAAATTTAGAATGTGGCTATGCAAATTTTAAGTCTTGTAATATTGTTCAACATTGAATGAAGAACATTTCGTTCAAAATATTGATTTGTAAATCAGATCGCTTTTACGTAAACTTTTTGGGTTTCCGAAAGTATCTGTGAAAACTTGGTTACAAAATTAAATTAAACTAATCAAAAATGCACATCTCTTTATTAGGGAATGTTATTACAAAACTCAGGCCGAATTAAAAGTTAATCAGTTAAGAATCAAAAAGAGCAGAAGTACAATACATCAATTCAACTAAACTTTTACTTATCGGAATCTTAGCAACATTTTCGATTTACTACATTTTCAAGCCATAAATTATCCACAGTCGGTAAGTCGATGCCTTCTTTCGCCAAATGGGAAAATCGACTTGTAGAACTCGACAAAAATTACATAAGAAAATGTTTCATAATAAAAAAATTATCTATTGAAAGGGTAACATGAGATATAACATGAAGGAAGGTTATATTCAGCTGGTGCCGAACCTTACGTACCCACAACCATTAACTCTTTTAGCGCCCCATGATTTTATTTATGGTCATACAAAAGTCAACGGGATAAGATTTACCTTTCATCTTTTAGTATCAAATTTATGCACCACGCAGTGTCATCGACCACAATTAATTTAAAGTTAACACACTTAGCTTTTCGGGTTTTAGTCTCCAAACCCTTTTATTTAATATTCAAATAGACGATATTTTTAGGCGAAAATTTATCCACCACGTCGTGTTGTGGTAGGCAGATATACATCTTGATGGACCTTGAGGAACGTACAAAACAATTTTAAGCATTCTGTCTTGTTTGCCTTATGGTTAATAAGCGTAGAACCTCAAAGAAACGAAACAAAAGTATTTACTCACTTCCATTTTTGCACATGAATAGTAGAGTTTTTTGTAGAGCAAATTTCGGCCACAATTTTTCACAATTTTTGAGTAACGGAATTGCGTTCAATTTATGCTTCATTGTGAGCTTGTGCTCTAACCTTGTCTACACCCACCTGTGTCCAATGTTTCTACCAAATTTCACTATACACACCACACAGACGCAGAGATGAGCAGACCACTCCAGAATATACATACTATGATCTTTGAATCTTATTTTTGTGTGTTGCAAACAATATGACAAACCCCCAATCGTCCAGTATAAAAACCAATAAAGGCAATAAGTGTAAGTTAACGGTATAGCAGAGCTATTAAAGTAAAACCATTTATAAACGCATCCAACACATCTGTATAAAAAATTTCTGAGTACCAAACAAATTCATCCTCAGGCAAATGGTAAGTGTCAATAGATCGCCGCAAATCAAATGCAGGCATAATATTTGCTTCGATTTTTTCGTCTTCATAATTGTAGTTACATTAGTGTATTTATTTGATTTATTAACCTAAAAAATGTTATTCGATGTAATGTGGATTCTGGAGTCAGTTCATCCTGTTTCACGTATTGTGTTTTCCATTCACATTTCACTGGATTTGCAATTTTCACATGTTTCCGTAACGCGTTATTCCGTCGACATTGCGGGCACTTCGGAATGTTCAATTATGCTGAAATTTTGCTCAGATGCTTACCTACGATGACAATGCAACGTGGCACAGCCAAATTGTCTGTATATTCAAACTGGTAAGATAGATGATTGTCCGTTTAGTAATAACGCCATCAATTTTGAGACGGTTTCTTACGCATTAAAACCTTACCCGCCCCTAGCTTTTATATATAATAACTTAAAAGTGGCTTGAATAAAATTTATTTTCCACCTTTAATTCACTCAAATAAAGCTTTATTTAAAAAAATTTGTTTATGTCATTTATTCCACGTCAAGTAGTAGTTAACACAGTTTTTATTGATTACGTGTAAATAACTATTACTTTTGAATCTATAGCGATTGTTTCATGACTTCTAGTTGATGATGCAGTGGAATTTATTGTTTAGCGAACGCACGCAACACATCCCCCACTAAATATGAATGCGTTTTAGTCATATCTTGCCAATCTTGCATTTCCATAACGTCGGCAATGTGGCTATTGAAAAGAAAAGGGAAATTAAGGAGATTAAAGTCAGCAAAAATATATATTGAAAAAAGAGTTAAACTCCGATAAAGACATTCTACCTTCTTTAATATAAATTATTGTTTTCCTACCCCAAATTTACACATATTTAAACCTAATTCAGCAGTACTACAGTGAGCTTTTTTTAAAACCTAGAAACTGGTCTCGATTGTTTTATTCCTTTCTTACATTCAAACTAACTGCTTGACACTCTCAGCCATCCTAAGTTGTGTGTGTGTTTACCTCTTTAGGAGGTAAAGAACATTTTTGAAATTTAATTTTGAAAAAGAACACGCTTGAACAACATATTACATAATGATTTTTATAAAACATTATATTCAGTAGCGACATTATGATATGTTTACAATGGTAGAATGAGCCACTGGTTAAAAGGGTTGGCAAAAACAGAATGTGTAATTGCTTGTCCAAGCTAAATAGATAGCTCCACTTATTGCAAAGCGAAAATCTGCTACATTTATTTAGTAGGTTTGATCAAGTTTTTGAAAAGAATAGGATTTTCTAAGAAAATGCTGATTCAGTCATACTGAAAATCTTGAAATTAATATCTTTCTGGCTTCATTCATTGCACACCAACGAATTGCTCCTATAAACCCCACACAGTTTCCCATCAATCAACATCGAACCTGCTTTCATTCCACTTTGTCATCGTCACAGCTTAACCGGCTCTCTAAAGCTTTTTCAAAGATTCTTTTCTTAAATATTTTAGAAAGAGTCTTATGCATTCATTAGTTTCCTAGGACATTTTACAACAAAGCACAGAACATTTCGTAAATGATAACTTATTTAGGAACTAACACTTCGTCAGATGAAAATGGGAACACCTTTCTTTAATAAGCTTCTCATACCCAAAACCCTATTTTACTAGTCGTACCACAATTTTAAAGTTAAAAAAATTTTGAAAAGGTATATGTTGTTTCGCTTATTTCTCGCCTGATTCCAATGGTAGCAGAAACTTCGGAAAGGAATACTATGCCATCCAAAAGAATACATTTGGCCATTGGCTTTGTAAGTCCCCATTTCATGAATTCTAAAAAAAGAAACAGTGCTGTGAGTCTCCGCTTACTTTTTAATATAAGCTATGGTATGCGCCTTCAGTTGATCAGCATCATAAACATCGGCTGATATTAGAGTTTCGGCAGCAGTTTTTACAGAAAGCCTAGTACTCATGGCATCTGCACACATTGCTTTAAGGTCTTCCAAAGCGTACTGCGAAAAAATAAAAAGTTTAATATTGAAATAATGAGACGAGGTAAAAAGTTTCATTTGATTACTACACCTTATTAGCAGCTGCAAGCAAATCCAAACTCATTCTATCTAAATTAGGCGCTGTTCCTGTGTACACGAATTTTAACATCTCTTTTAACACGTTATGATCAATATCTTTTATGACGACACGGTTAAGTTTGTTTTCTTCCATTTCGTGCTCAAACATGGCAGCAAAGACTTCACTGCGAGCTTTCAATAAAAATTTACAGGTCAATAAAAAATGTGCAAGATTAAAAAGCACAAAAGAGGAACTCATAACAGCCCGCCCTCTTGACTGCAGTTTAACCGTTATTTGTCGACAGAAGTTGGTTTGTTGGGACAATTTTTTCAGTGATCGAAGGTGACCAACTGCCTAAAAAATATTTTTTTAGTTCTAGTTTTAAATGAATACCGCTGGTGCGAGTTATAATATCGATCTCGACTCTTGCGAGGGTTGTTGCAAGCCAATCACACGCAAATCGAATCTTACTCTTTGCCGATAAATTAAGAAAGTATATGACATGCATTAAATTCTTCTTTTTTTTTGGAAACACAAGTGTTGAAACAATGCGCAATGGATGGAAAAAATTAGCTTAAGAATCAGTTTAGGTTAAGTGGGTTCTTCTCAATTTGCTGACGGAGCAAATAAAATAAAATGTGTTATATAAAGTCCGCTCAGAAAGAATTCATTAGTACTTCTTGTATTTTCTTTTCTACGAAAGCAAACTTCTTGAGGTGACTTTATCAACCTCTATGCATAACTTGATCTAAAATTCATTTTATAACAAAAACTTCATGATTCCAAAAAGAGTTCTACAAATAGCTAAACTCTTTACATTATAAAAAAAATATTATTTAATAAGTATTAAGCGAAATGCGCTCAATTCCAACTTATATTAGAGATTTGAAATTGAAACGCATGAGCAACAGCTTTCTAAGCGCGTTTTAATTTTTTAAACTCCAAAAAGTTAATAATAGAGTTTTTTGCCCACACTTATCTAAACCGAAATTCTCTATAATAAGCAACATTTTCCTTTTGAACTTACCAGCTAATATACTCTTGTGAGCCCTGACTTCAAGGCCACTCGCGACTAATGTAACATCGCTAAATTTCTCATTATTAAGTAGAGTTCCTAGATTTTCGCTCAATTTGCCTCGAATCGCATTACGATGCATTATTTGCGCCTGCTCAGAGATATTAACAATTTCCATCTCGGTAATTTCGCAAAGAATTGTCGTTTCCGCATCCTTTAAAACAAGGGGTCCAATATATTGCTTGATATAACCCTTTTCACAAAGTTGTGCAAACCTGCAACATAAAAAATAACAATTTAAAGAGATATTCTCCTTACTTAAGAACTAAAGAGAAACACTCGTCTTGCCTTGGTTCTTCTATGGTTCGGATTGTTTTCCCTAAATCTAATAGGTCAACTTTTGTCCTGGCGTGAACTGCGGCTTTATTGCTTGAGACTAATGTGATATACATACCCACATAAGTATTTTCATGTTTTATATGAAAGCACCTGTAAATGGAAAAATTTTAAAAAACTTAGTTTATCATTAGGTCTAAAAAATGTTTACGCAATACATTACCATTTTGATTCATCATTGGCACCGGTTGAAAATGTTGGTGACGTCATATAATCTTTCTCATGACCTCTATCCTGCCAAGCACTATAATTTTCTATAGTCCACTTAAATAGCTTTTTCGTCTCCTTTACCTAGAAAAGAAAGCAACTATACTGATGCGAAAGTAATTTTAAAAACGCATATGCAGCTCGTTTTGTTTACCTTTGTACCACCAATAGCATGCACTACGGATGTATTAACTTTCGATAAAGCCGCCGATTGTATATCTTTAGCAGCCATTGTACCGCATAAAACGCACGTTCAAATTTTAGGTCACTTCAAATTGGCAAACCTGATGATGTTTATACAAATATAAAAAAATAATCATTTTTTTTTTTTTGGTTAAAAGGTCGAGAAAAAAAGCCGGAATAGAAACATCTGATGCAATGTTATTGTTTTAGACATTAGCTATTAATATGCACAGTTGAATACGCCCTCAAATAACTGAAGTATTTGGAACGAAAGGTAACTGATATATTAATCATTTTTACAATTGTATTATACTTGGTTGACTAACTTGCCTTACACTACCGAGCTTATGGAAATCCTTCGAATGTGATTTACCTAACTGAAAAAATTTCTAAAATATTGGTTCACCACAATCAATTCTATTGCTGCACTTATGCAATTAGTTTGTTTAAATATCACAATTCAACTGCCCGTTATTTCGTAAGTGCCTCGTTTATAAAGCGTTAAAATTTTTCTTGTCTACAGACGACGAATACTGCCCTGATTGATATAACGTCTTCTTCTTCTGTTATTCAACAAATTAAGAACAGAAAATTCACTGGGGTATGTAGAAAAAGGCCCAATGTGGACACAGAGTTCTTTGTTTGGCCCTTAGTAAAATTGACGCTAGATTTGGTATACGATATTATTATCTATAGATCTATTTCTTCCTTAAATATTTCGTTATTCCTGCTAAGTGAACTTTGCTAAGAAATTTTTCGTTTAGGTGCGAGGCAAAACTTCAACCGTAGTCTATTTCAAATCGTTATCAGAAATTTTTGGGAATTTTCATTTTTATTATGGGTTTTTTATTTTACTACAACAACAAGGGAATAATGAAAATCATTACCTGCTTTAATTGCTTTTCTTAAAATTTGCAAGTTTTGCTTTTATGAAAATGTCGTAATGTTATGAAATGTTATGTAACATGTATTAGGTTGTTCGAAAAGTTATTTTAGTTTTCCAGCAGTAGATTTAATTGCAAGTTGGCGCTTGCATCGTTATATATTTTGACAGCTAACATATAAATGCTTGTTTTCTTTAAAAGATTTGTTTAATCCTACCGAGTAAGTTTTGTATAATGCCTTATCACCTATGAGAAGTCGAAAGCAGAAAAATTGGATATATTTTAGATTTTTGCTATGTTAAGTAACAGTGGTATTCAAACAATTATTGAATGTGTATGAAGAAGATGTGTTGAGAGAATACTAACTTTTTACAAAACTTCACTTCATTTCGTTGCGTCAACTTTGATATTGAAGATGTTCTACCATTTGCTCTCATTAGCAAATGTAATGAAAACAAAAAAAAAAACTTAGGAACTTGTTTTCTCACAAATTGTAGTGTCAGTTTTCTACTAAATTCTGGTTTCAGCGGCTTACGGCGATCGTGGCAATGGTCATGTTATACCTAGGGCATGCTTTGAAGCCGATGGGGTCGAAAGGTTGGTGTTTATGGATGACATGATGATTATGGGGTTGTTTAAGGATATTGGAGGAAAAGAAGAAACTACAGACAAACTTGGTACCCAAGACAACGACCTCAAGCTTAAGTCCCGCTTAATTTAAGACTGGCTCGTATAGAGCTTTTATTCTCTTCCCCAATAACGCCCAATCTCGTCCGTCCACGATCAGAAAAATACACTAAAAGAAGAATGCTGTAAGATCCCTGTTTCTTACATAAGAGAAATTGTACAAAATATGTTAAAGCCAAACATTAGTTTTTATTGATTTGCTGTTTGTTTCTTTGTATCCTTCCTTATTAGAAAAAACCCAACATTAATCACGCTATGTTTTTTGAGCTCTTTAAGTTATTTAACTTTCTTGTCGACTGGAATAATATTTTGTTCTTTTTATCTTTTAATGTGTATTCCTTAGTAGTGCAAAATAGTGGAATAAATTTTTATGTTTGGACAATGGACTAAGTTTAGAAAGCCCGATATTAATGAGCCTCACTTTATTTCTTTGTGAGCGCTTTGGTGTTGTTACAAATTTCCGCTTTTCTATTATAAGATTCGTACCACTAGATCGTGGATATTTTGCTCAAGAGAAATACACTACAAAGTTGTTTTATTTTCAATTACATACCTTAACAGTAGGAGTATTTATTTCTAATTATATTCCTTAAATGTAGGATTATTCACTATCTACCTTAGTTGTACTCTCAGCTTAAATGTTCTTGCCCGACTAACTCTTCCTTCCACAAATATCCTATTTATATACATTTTTACAAGCAGGTTACTATACCCAAATTCATAATTTTTATATTTAGTCCCTGTCTGCTTTTCTCACTAATCGTTTTTATTCGCCTGCAGCTGCATGAAGCGCTTGCAAATGTGCATTTGGTTTTTCCTTCTATAGGAAATTTGTTATCAGGGAAAATTACTAAGCAGAAATTGAATGGATTTGGGATTTTCGTAACAGTATGAGCCATTATACGCGAGGTACCCAACCAAAATGTTGCCGAATCGCAAGGACACTTATAAACTAGTATAAATGCTGTTCCGAAAAAGTGATCACACATGTCCCTGCTTAACGATATGTTCTGAATTTCAAATTTATTTATTTGATTCATTTTAAATTTATATTTGCTTTGCGTGTAAAGCCTGCAGTAGTTAACCCAGCAAACTGATTCTCCAGAAAATGGGAAGTGTTAACAAATCGCCGCAAAGTGTAATGTTTGCCTAAAATTTTTTCTCATTATAATTGTAGCTACATTTGTGTACGCCTTTGCTATAATCACCTAAACGTGTTATGAGGCTATGTCGAGACTGGAGTTAATTCACCCTGCTTCACATACTATGTTTTTCGTTCACCTTTCACTTGATTTACAAATTAGACATATGTCCGTGTTAAAGTATGACAACGGAAACATTTAGGCATTATGTGATAGAAATATCGTTAATAAATTTTTTTACTATGTAGCTAAGATAGCACAAAAAAGAAGAATTTCAGACAATATGAGAGGAAAATCCCTATCGTGTTGGTAAAAGCACAATAAAAATTCTTAATGTTCAGGCATCAAAAGTTTCCAGATGGGGGGGTATTTAAAGACAAACAAATTCGGTGCATTATGAATTAAGCCTGAGCGACGTCGGACCATTATTTTAGAATGTCATTTGTCGGATATAACATGGAACATAGTACGATAGGCGTGCCGAGCATAAATAGGTATTATGGCTATTATCGCAATTGAATGGGAAGGTCCTCCAAGGCAAAATGTCCTAAATGCTTAAATATGCCCAAAGTGAATGCTGGGCATGTTACATTAATGAAGGGTGTTATATTTCCGTGACGGCATTACTAGATCATATTCCTTTCAATGTCCCGTTTAAAGTTCCTACGGCGTATGTTACTTTGCTTCTAACACACTGTCATACTAATTATTTTTTGTATAATCCACTGCGTGTCTTATGTGAAATTGTAAGCGAGAATTGCAACACTTGGACATATGCGTTTCTTCTTATAATGTAATTAAAAACGAAACAAAGGTTGTTTCGATAGTTTAGGTTAATTAAATAAAAATCTTTCTTTATGCATTGTAGTAGTTTTATGACTAGCAGAAGGTAGATATCTTCTTTTAAAATGGTACGGTGTTCTCTATTAACGTTTTATAATCTCATTCGTAACATCAGCTAAATAGCTAAGGCTTGTAGCTCTTAATAACGTAGCTTCGCTTCAATCAATATCAAATTTGCCTTCGTCCCATTTATGACACACACAAACCGTGCCTGACGTCTTCACGTATATGTTCACTTAGTTTCAATCAGTTTTCTAAAGCTTTTTCAAATGTTCCTTTTTTAAATTTTTTGGAAAGACTCCTAAGCAAGCACCGGGGAAAGCCAAAAGATTTGGTAAGTGACAACTTATTTAGGAACTAACACTTCCTCAGACGAAAATGGATATCAATTTTAATAATGGTGCCATAAATTTTAAAATTAAAAAAATCGCCTTATTCGAGTGGTAGCAGAAGCTTCAAGAAGAAATACTATCTGAAAGACCAATTTAGTCAAATTCTAACTGTAAGTATAAGTCCCTTTTTTTGAAGTTTTCTTAAATCTTACAAAAGAGTGCCTTAGTTTTCTGCTTCCTTTTTAATACAAACTATGGTATGTGCTTTCAGTTGACCAGCATTATAAAGATTAGCTAATACTAGGGTTTCAGCGAAAGTTTTTTCAGAAAGCCTAGTACACAAGGCATCTTCACACATTGCTTTAAGATTTTTCAAGGCGTACTCAAAAAAAAGAAAAGGCTTAATATTGAAAAAAACGAATTGAGAAAGAAAATTTCATTTGATTGCTTTATGAGTGTGAATGTAGCAGATACATGTTGAGTGATTAACTCGCCTTGTACTACCAAGCTATGGTTACAGAAATCCTTACAATGTGATTTATCTAATTGAAAGAACTGTTAAAATATTAGTTCACCACATATAGCATGTGGCAAAAACTCCAAACAAACTCTGCTACTACTTTCAGTCGTTGTCAGGGATTTTTAGGAATTTCCATTTTCGTTACGCGTGCTTTACTTTACTAAACCAAGAAGCGAAATAATGGAAATCATTACCTACTTTGCTTAATTATTTTAAAATTTGAAATTTCTGCTCTTATGAAAATTGTACAGTTTCCAAACTAAGTAACGTTATGGAAAATATTATGCGAAATGCATTAGGTGTTCGAAAATTCATTTCGTTATTTTCCAGTAGTGAATTTAATTGCAAGCTGACGCTTGAATCGCATTTTCGTTATATATTTTAACAGCCCGTTTTTAAAAAGATTTGTTTGATGCTACGAAATAGGTTTGCTTGGAGTTATGGAAAGTCGAAAGCAAGAAAATCGAGCATGTTTTAGATTTTTACAATCGATAAAGTAAAAATTGTACTCAAGCAAAAAAAAAATTATTGAATGTGTATAAAGAAGATGTATTTAAAGAAGACAAGAATCATAACTGATTTACGAAATTTCGTTCAAACAGGTTATAAATAAAGAGATTAACTGATACAAACCGACAAAC